TAATAGTCTAAACCGAGTGCTCTTATTGGCAACCATTGAGTTAAGTAATTGAGATAAACCTCAATCTAAAGCGGACTCCACTTTAAGCCTCTATTTTGTTTCCAAATGCATACAAACATAATGAATAGATGTTTAAACACATTTTCTACTCGAAAGCTGTTTTGAACAGTTTTCAATGAATTTGTCACATATTTAATAGGAACTTAATGAATTTATTTTTTATTTCAATAAAACTACAGTCATATTAGAAATGCAACGAAATCTCAACACTTTACTGTAGATAGTATGAGAGTTTAAATATATTTTCTTTCAATTTTTATTTAACTTTAAAATTTTCTTGCTTTTACAAATCTATACTCTCTATTAGAGTCTCTAACATTTCATTTATTAAATACTATACTAACTTAATATGAAAACTTATTATTGCATATTTGCCTTTTAATTTATAATTATTTTTAGAAATACCTTTCGTTTTTTAAAACCTTTATTATTTGTGAATTAAAATAAACCGATTAAATACATAAAATATTACAAACAAGAATTTACTATTTTTATTGTTTTAAGTTTTAAGATTAGTTTGAAAATTTAGATAAAACTACAGTATTTCATTTATTTTTGTAAGCTTTATTTTTTATGAATGGAGTGCATGTGTAAATAATAAACTTGATTTAGAGTAAATGATTGTCAATATACAGTGAAGAGTAAAACTTTTTTGGAAAATTTATTAAACATTTTGTTATTTTGTTTGTCATTCATTCACTAAAATGTAACTCAAAACCAATGGTTAACTCTAACTGCTGTGCACTTCACTCGTCTTTAAACTCGACGTGAAGTGAATGTTAGGACTTTGGGACAAGAATTGGCGAAAATAGAGAACCAGTGGACCAGTGGTTCACTTGTGATGACATTATGAAGTGAGGAGAACAGCATGAGATTGGATGAGTGCAACGGAAATACCCGTCCACTGCCTCTTCACACGTGTTCTGGTGGCGATTGATTTAGGCCTAACTCCACACAAACCAACACTTTTATTGATTAGTTGTACGCCTTGTTGCACATCCATCGCACTCTACACTCTCCACACTCTCTACTCCCAGGCCTTCAATGCACACAATGCAACACAACCAACATTTCTGCCCATTTACTCGGCGTGAACTCTCATTACGGCTAATCATTCAGTCATTCAGCTGAGAGAGAGAGAGAGAGAGAGAGAGAGAGAGAGAGAGAGCTCAAATTACATCGATTTTAAGAAATCTTAAACGCGCTTAAAATTTAATTCAAATTGATTTTAGAAAATTATATAGATTTGAATTCTTTAAAGTTTAATCAATAATACTGTGTGATATCTAATAGAGTAGTATTTATTTTTTAATTAATACCAGTCTATATTAATAGTTACAATATAAAGTATAACTGCTACAATTGAACTTATACAGCCTAATACAGCTCATTTTAAATTTAAAGTTAATAAGTGTATATACAAACCTAAAAAATGTTATATAAGTTGTATATACTTGATGACATAGTACTTTGTAATAATATATTCAAGCGCTGTTATAATTTTATATTGTACTGTAATACTATAAAAATGAATATTACGGTATTTCAATATAAAGAATCCTAATCTAAATATCAGCAAACTCAAGTTGCAAATAATAAAAATTGATTTATTATAGAAATATTTAATTGGATTTAAATGTCTACTAATAAAATAATTAACCGAATAATGAGTTGAAAAGTTTGAGGCAAAATGCAGCAAATGATTAATTAGTTACGATTAGAGTAGTGATGCCAATGTATTCAAGTATAGATTGAACCTACACCAATAAATATTATTATACTATATACTTAATGTGCACTTAATTATTCTGTAATTATCTGCACAATTGATGCTTCATTTGCAATGTGTTACTAATTAAATGCTATTTACTTAATTAATTGATCAATTATTAATATAATATAGTCATTATATGCAACATTTACTTTATATTATTTGCTGTTCAATGCAAATAAAGTTTATAAATAGAATTAATAAAACTTACCAGATTAATTAAAGAACAATACTCAATATTGTAAATATCCAATGATATTTGCATTTATTTATTTATTGATTGAGAATAAGTTACAAAAATATATATCAATAATTTAATAATACTTACATCTAATGTATAAAATTGTCAATTTTAATAATGTGTATGTACTGTATAATAAAATAATGTTTTTAAAAATACAATAATTGATTGAATTGTGGCAAATATTACGGAGTGTCTGAATGGATAATCTCTGAAACTGACCAACAGGTGTATGTAATAATAATAAGACCGTAATAATAATAGCCAATAGATATAATAAGTGTTTAGGCTATGTTTGCATAATATTATGATTCCATGAAAGCATGTCTATTTAAAACAGTGGAAAAATCAATTAAATTACTAAACATAGGCTGCAAATCGAAAATTATACATAAAACAAATTTAGACATTTTTAAAATTAACTAAAAATTATTAGATATGAATCAAAATTAATTTAAAAATCATTAAATTATATAAAAGACTGATAATAATAATATTGGAAATAATATTACGAATTGAAAGCAACTGAATAAACAATAATATCTTCTATTAAACCCAATTAGAAGGCAATCAATGGATTACTTCTCGACGTTTGCGATCAACTCGTCCACCATTTTGGTCAACTCGTCGTTCTCTTTAGTCTTCTGTTCGAGTTGTAGCTGAAGGCCATTGATCTTCATGTCAGACCTCTTGAGCTGAGCCTTCACTGCAATCAGTTCCGACTCACACTCTCGTCGCGAGCTTTCGATGTAATTATTGGCACTAAAAGACAAACACATGTCATGTAGAGTAGAGCCTATGAATGTCAAGTGCGGGTCACTTACTGTTCAATCTTCTCCTCCGCTTTACTCTTCAGGAGTTCATACATGTGTTCCTTCTCTTGAAGTTTGTCCATCAGTTCCATATACTGCTCATTGAACTGCATTTCCCTGAGTTTGGACTCTTCGAGAGCTGTCCTAACCTTGTCGTACCGGTTGTGCACTTCATAGAAGTTCTTCTCCACGTTATTCACTTCTTCGAGCGCTTGACTCCTTTCAGCACTCATTTCATTGCATCTGTCCATCAGCTCCTTCTTGTCGGTCATCAGATCGTCGATCACTTGAGACGCCATTTCCACCACTTCTTCGTTGCAATTGTGAAGCAAATGAAGCAAAACCTCGTATTTCTCGCAGTTATTGCTAATTATATTCAGATTCTCTTCCAAACCATGCATTTGTCGGTCTTTTTCAATGAGTTTCTCCTGAAATAACAACTCTTTTATTCGCAACTCATTCACCAATTCATCACAGTTTTGGCCATTATTTGTGTCATTTTGTTCAGTCAATGGATCAGCTCTTGAGTTCATATTCGGCACATTTACGGGACTATTGAAGTTCATGAGAGTTGTGCTCTCGTTGTGTCTCATCGACGACATGTCATGAGATGTGAGGCCATCGATGGTCTCGTTTCGCACACGACTTTCGGTGGCATTCAAAGTGATGTTGTGTTCAATGAGTTCAGACCTACTCTTGTCGTTGAAACTGAAATGATTGGTCTTTTGGACCAAATCCGACAAATCCATGGTATCGACCAATGGGTCAAATCGTCTCAAGACAGACGCGCGGGAGTTGAAGGAGTGGTTGATGTCGGCGCTCATAGTCCTCCTCTCGAGCGCCTCCAACTCGTGGACAAACCTGTCGGGCATTTTGAACTCATCGTCAGTGAACACCGTCTTCGGCTCACAAGCGCTTCCATTCACAGACAGATCCATATCTCTTTGGTTGTCCACACCTGCAACACACCAACACATGATGAAGTGGTTACGGTTGTGTCCACTCCGGCAATACTCACGCAAACTATTCATCGACACAGTGGTCAACAACTCATGAAAACATATGATTTAATAAATAATAAATGAATTAATAAATAATGAAAACTAAACTCAAAAGCGGTTTCAAAACAAATCAAATAATGGCTGAAAATAAACGAATCAATGATTGCTTTAAATCATACAAACACTCGCATACTATACGTCCGACACTTCATTACAAATTGCTTTCAATTTATACAACATTTCAATACATTCACATAACAGGGGTTCTCTTATAGTGAACATAATTTATGTGGAGTCCTTCAAAGTTTACACAACATTCAAATTGATTGACTGCACGTCTCCATAGGTTTCCGTGAAATGCAATGTGAATCACAAACAAAAGTGAGTCAACATTATCATTGCGCTCTACTATTAACGCCATCTAGTGTTACACCAATTTTACTGCATAAAAGTGTATGCAATAGAAAAATGTAACTATAGATGGCAACAGTGATTGAGGGCATTAACAAAGTGTATGATACCGTTCTTAAAACAATACTTTGGTGTAGATTACTGTATCGATACCTGTGCTCTAATATAATTAACAAATCAATACATAATCATTAGATGTAATGCATATTAGAGTAAATGTTATTGAACAATCACATATAACATAAACCCATAGTTTGGTTACCCTATGATAGGCATTCCCATGTTCTGAATGTTTGCCAAAATGCCTTACATACAGTATTTACAGCTAATTTTATGCACGACTGTACTTACGATATTGGATTATAATTAGATATTGTAATAATTGATTCATTAATTCATTCAAAACAAATCAAATTTCATTATAATTTTGTTTAAGTTATACACAAATATTGATTACAATAAAAATTATTTACATAAAGCTTTCAAATCGAATAAATTATCTTAAAAAAGACATTCAAATGCCTTAAGTTTTTCAGTCATTTGTGTGTTTTAACTAAAAATTAACAAAAAGTCATATCAATTGAATTTTGACCAAAAATTGGTTATTAAAAGAAAGTTATATATTGTACGGTATAAAGAAAAAGTAATTCAAAAGTTATTTTTGAAAATAAACTCCAAATCAAAGAACGCCTGAAAATGAGCTAAAGATGTAGTTTTCATGTCTGACTGTTAGGGTCGAGAGAATTGTCTTCTTTTGATTCGTCACCAGAAGAGTGTCGGTCGCCATTCGTACGCTCAATACTCGACGGACTCGTGTTGGCCGAGTCGGCCCTCTCCTCCTCCTCCTCCTCTTCCTTAACGATCACATCAGTCTCCTCTCTGTCGCCCTCTCTGTACTCCCGTTCCTCAATGTCGGCATCATTTGTGTGATTCTCTTCCGATTTGTATTCATCGGTCTCTTTATCGTTGTTATTATTATTGTTATTATTATTACTTCGGCTACTCTTCGAGTGATGGCTGTGTTCGTGACCTTTGCGTGACTTTGAGCGTGAGTTTGATTGCGATCGGGAACGAGATCTACTGTGAGAGGTATGTCGATGTCTATGAGAGCGATGGGGAGAACGGCTCCGACTGCGGGTCCGATGACGCGAACGTCTGGCAAAGCATTGAATTAATTATTATAAAACATTTCAAATACACACAAAATATAAGTCAAACCGTCGATTGGAAGTCCTGTCTCTGGATCGGGATCTGTGTCTGCGATCGTCTCTTCGGGAGACATGTCTGCGACTGCTTTGGCCGCTCCGGAAGGGAGGGCCGCGCTCTTTGACCCGCATTTCTGACGGCGCTTTAGTTAAACACAAACTCATCGTTAATATCTTTGAGTTAGTCTTTCATCTCTTTAATCAAACAAACTTTTTCGGTCTCCCTGTGCGAACTCAACCTCCAGTTCCCTTCCGAACAGCCGAACCCTATCCAAGTTGTGTACCGCCTCTTCAGCTGATCTCAACTCATCGAACGTAATATCAGATTAATGTTAAGGAAAATGTCATATTTTATAGTAAATTAATGGTTAGTTATGTCAAGCATTCAATGTATGGTCAGACCTATCGATCCATTTTTGCAACAAATCAGTAAAATGTCATAAAATTAGCAAAAATGTCATCATTTCATACAAAATGAAACAATGATTGAATAAATGTAAATCAAATGAGTATTGAATGATAAGGATATTGAACGTATGCGAAGCCCCGGGGCCTATGGGTGTAGTAGTCGTGGGGTATATAGACATCAGTCACGTGTCCGTAATCGCCGAATAGATTCCGCAAGTCTTCGGATCTGTTTGGAGATAATGAAACACATTAAGGGTTATATTGAAAGCATGCGTTTGGATGGCAAGTGTGAGCTGTGTATGGTGTAGTGAGCGGGACATGGCATGTGTGTGTGTGTGAGTGTGTGTGTGTGGAAGTGTTATGGTGACAGTGTGTGGAAGTGTTATGGTGACTGCACCTGGTCACTTCAGCCACATTGCGGATGAATAGGGATCGGTTGGAGTTGCTGAAAGAGCGGGGCATTTCTGGCCCGATATGTCACATGTAATCGATGGTCCAAACTATGGATGATTTGATGTCCACTTCGAGGCAATGGTTCCCAACGACTGGTTTGGCTTTCAATAAGCGATTGAGTGTTCAATGAATTGTAAATCAATTAATGAAACAAATATTAAATTACAGACAAAAAGCTGTGAAATGTTTGCAGAAAACGTTTTCTCAGATTTACATTAAAGTCACACAAATGACGGCCATATATACAACATTCACACCATGTATGCCATCGCACTGTTTGCCACTAATGTCTCACAAAAGACCATTTTTATGACATTTAAACATCACATTTGTCTTAATTGTGCGTTCAATGGACACACGAGAGTGAAGTGAATGATTGCAAGTGAATGGAAGTGTTGGAAGTGATGTGTGAAGTGGTGATGACGTGATTGATGTGTTGCGAGTAATGCCTGTATTGTTGGGAAGGAGTGAGTGATTGGCTGACAGACGATGAGAGGGTCGACACAAACACTGAACCATACATTGAGTGCATTGTATGACTGATCCCAAGACAGACCACATTCGCCACACTATTATCACCAGAAATGGGCGACAAAGACGTGTCCAGTGAATACATGCGAGACGTGAACCAACAGCTGGAGTGGACTGAGTTGAGGGAGAAGTTGCACGACATTAGTGTCCAAAACGACAACAATTTCGTCAATAAGATCGTGTCGAAGACCAAAGAGAATCCATTGGTTCCCATCGGTAGGTGTGCTATGAATGCAATGCTCGTGAGGACAGGTGTGTAACGTGTGGTATGTCTTAGGCATCTGTGCGACCACTTTCTGTCTGACGTATGGACTGATAGCTATGCGAAGGGGAGACTCCCGTAAGCAGCAGCTGATGATGAGGGGCCGGGTGTTGGCGCAGGGCTTCACTGTTATGGCACTC